AACCTGAAATCTTTTGTTCCAAAATAGTTCTGTTGTTGTTTATTTGTTCAGTCGCTTCCGACTCTTTGTGACCTCATGGAACAGCACACTCCAGAGCTCCCTGTTGGCCGTCGCCACCCCCGGCTCCAAGGTCAAGCCAGTCACTTCAAGGATACCATTGAGCACCTATAGACATAACATACTCTTTATATCCCAAATACGTATAGACAGATGGCAATAGTATGCATTCATGTCACACAGATCATTAATAAAACTTACAAAAGGTGCCTGCTAGGAAGTATAAATGTCAATAGATTGTTTCAGCAGAGAATGGAACAGAGGAATTTCATTTGGCTTTAGATAAAGGCCAATCAATTAATTAGATGGCAGATCTGCAGCAACAGAAATAAACGAGAAAGGAAGGAAAAGGAAGAGATTTCTAATAAAAGGAGCATATTAGAGTTACAAAGAGTAAGAACCCATTCTTTACAAGCATCCACACTAGAATGACAGTGATCACTTATGGAGACAGCTGCTGATCTTTGATTTTTGAATAGCTGGAGTCGAATAAGAAAGAATTCTGAAATTGTGCCTCTCCCACTCCTCTAATTTTATTTCTTTATTTAATTTTGGCAACCTCCTTTATTAAAATAGTCACAGAATTGTTTCCTGGCTAGATATGGTGAAGCTAGTTTCTAGTTATATTCTTGGCCAGTACTTGACAAGCTAATTTAATGTGATGGATGCCACAACAGTGGTACTTGAAATTAGTCATATGTTTTCCAAGACACTAAGATCGTCCGGGGAGGCCCTGCTCTCGGTCCCGCCAGCATCACAAGTGCGGCTGGCGGGGACGAGAGACAGGGCCTTCTCGGTGGTGGCCCCTCGGCTATGGAATGCCCTACCAACGGAGATCAGACAGGCCCCGTCGCTACCGGCGTTTAGAAGGCGGGTGAAGACGTGGCTCTTCGAACAGGCGTTCGGATAAGCATGCAATTAACATCTGACTCAGAAAGACGGCATACTGAACAAGGAATGGTAAAATGACTATGAGATTTGGATCTGATTTTATTCGAGGCGTGATGACGTTATGTGTATTGTTTGTGGATGTCTGTCACATGCATTGTTCAATGTTGCACTTTTTTACTGTAAACCGCTTAGAGTCGCCTTGTTGGCTGATATAGGCGGTATACAAAAGGAGTAAATAAATAAATAAATAATAAATAATGAATCGCATGCGCCTTCATTACTTGAGAACTGTAGCACTATCAAAGGGTAACCTTCAAGTACACAAGAAGCCATCAAGGAACAAATAAATAACCTCAAAAAGGAATCCTTCAAATGATAAGATGAAGGATTGTGCATTTTTTTGTGAATAAGCCCTAAAATGGACGTTTCCCTCTTCCTCTCCTCTCCTCTTCTTTTTAGAAATCTTGCACTTGTTCACTTAGGGAAGTACCATATTTACTCGAATCTAATGCTCACCTTCTAGGGCTAAATTGTGTTGCGCTAAGTATATTTCAGTCAAGTCCAATGCAGAAGACACAATAACATTGCACCCAGGCAAGAGGAAAAAAACCCAGAAAAACTTTACTCTTATCAGCAGAGTTAAAACATAAACTTGCGATGTTACAAACAGTGCAACAAACTTACATAGTCTTTGTAAGCAATACAGAATAAGGCTTCTTCATCTTCATCAAAATGAGAGAGCAGTAGAAATGGTTGAGCAAAATACCTGAGCAAAGGCTCCTCAGAGCAAAAGCTGATCTGTATTCTAAAAACCATACAGTTATACCCCACTAGGTGTGGTCCAAACTTACTAGTTGACCTACATTAGCAGCTGCACATAATAATTAATAGCATAAGGTTTTCTTTAACACACACTTACTGTAACAAATTGCACAGTCAAAAGTGAGGTGTGTTTTAGATTTGATGGCATGTCAGAATCACAAGTGTCAGACTGACCAGGTAAGGGATGCATCTTCCCAACTGACCTCATTCATGAGGCCTTCAAAATCTCTCCCTTGGTTTTGAAGGCTTTGTGAATGAGGCCTTTGTTGGGAAGCCGGCACCTATCCATCAGGATGAGGCTGGAGAGTTCGCCAGCCACAGCCTGATGGAGAGGCATGGTTCCAGAACGGCCAACAGGAGAGGGGAAGCCATACATTATATTTGACAACAAATCATTTTTGAGGTACACATTACAACAGATGGCACGTTATACTCAAGTAAATATGGGCAAATAAGCTCTTCTGGTCTATAGTAGGGAGTGAGAAAAATATAGAGGGGCTTCCAGGTTCTGCAGGATTGCAGTTTCCAGCATTCCACAGCTGACTGTTTTGAGTTACAGTTCACTAATTTCTTGCCCACTTTTTCTTCTGGATTGAACTATAATAATAAAATATAATAAACTTTATTTGTACACTGCCCTATCTCCCCGAAGGACTTTGAACAGTTCCCAACATAAAAGGCAAACATTCAATTGCCAAAAAGAAAACCATACAGACAAATTACATCAAGACAAACACATTAGACAATATAAAACAACCTAATTTAAGAGGCATTTCTCCTGACGTTTCGCCTGCATCTATGGCAAGCTTCCTCAGAGGTAGTGAGGTCTGTTGGAAGTAGGAAAAATGGGTTTATATATCTGTGGAATGGCTGGGGTGGGGCAAGGAGCTCTTCCCTGCTGCAGTTAGGTGTGAATGTTTAGCTGATCACCTTCATTAGCATTTGAAGGCCTGCCTGAGTCTGGGAAAATCTGTTGCTGGGAGGTGTTAATCTGTGCCTGGTTTTTTCCTCTCTGTTGAACCATGAAAATGAACAAAATCTGGCTACCAGTATTAAAAAACTCTAAAATTATAATAGCTAAACAACAGAGAGGAAAAAACCAGGCACAGATTAACACCTCCCAGCAACAGATTTTCCCAGACTCAGGCAGGCCTTCAAATGCTAATGAAGGTGATCAGCTAAACATTCACACCTAACTGCAGCAGGGAAGAGCTCCTTGCCCCACCCCAGCCATTCCACAGATATATAAACCCATTTTTCCTACTTCCAACAGACCTCACAACCTCTGAGGATGCTTGCCATAGATGCAGGCGAAACGTCAGGAGAAATGCCTCTAGAACATGGCTCTATAGCCCGAAAAAACCCACAAGAACCTAGTAATTCCAGCCATGAAAGCCTTCGACAATAAACCTAATTTAACTTAATAAACACAGGAACAAAAATAAAAGCATCATAAAATACAAAAATTCTGCTAAAACACACTAAAAATTAAACCCAATTGCATTGTAGCTCCATCAGGCAAGGTTCAACAAACCAATGGCCAGGATTACAAAATGGATAAAAGGGCTGGGCAAGGGATAGTGCAAACAATGTATCATAGAGCCGGAGAAATGGAAGATGTGCAGAACAGAGTACTATCTGGCGACCTAGGGACTGGGCTCAGGGACTAATCATTCTCGAAAACTTGCAGGAACATCCAGGTTTTCAGATCCCTATAAAAAGAGGACATTATGGGGCTTACTCCTCTTTACACATACAACATTAGAAGAAGGTCCCTAGAAATTCCCGTAGTGAGTCAATCCCTGGCTTGTACCAAGAATCTGGTATCCTGTTTCATAGTCTGCTGTAATGGAGAAGGTGTTTCAGAAGGAAACAGAAATAAACAAAAATGCAATCAACAATTGCACTATATCTTGCTAATTGCTTACTCTGTATGGAGAGGGGGGATGAATCCTTCCCAGCATCCACAGGTGATGAGCATATACCCTGAAGCATGAGATTTGATTACCCTTATCATTATCCTAGCTTGCATAGCAACGAATGCAATTAGCAGCCATAAAATTAGCCAGCTTGGTTATTACGGGTTTGTTATTTTTGTTTTTAATCTACGAAGCAAATTTAACCGTGATAATGCAAATTTTTTTATTAATCAGTGGTTTCTATCTCGGGGAGGGATGCATGTCCAGAAATGCTACAAAATGCCCTTGGCTAGAAATTATTTTTAATAAATACAAAAGAAAAAATAAAATTAAAACTTATTGACAATGATTTTTGAAGACTCTTAGAGATTGTTTCCTAAATGAAGCTTTATTCAAGTAATGTCATATTCTTCCCCTCTGCTCAGGTAAAATTTGCTGGCGAAAGGCAAAGTATGATGTTTAGACTATAACAAAAATAAGCAACTATAAAAAAAATGAAAGCTTACAATAAAATTGAAAGAAAAATGCTCTTAAGAAGCATGCAAACTTAACTGAATACTATCCTGAGCATTCTTCCAAATTCCAGGAGCACCCTAAGTGGTTGTGCACAGAAGGATCAGACCAGCATTAACCCAACAGACGTATGGTGAGAAATCCATTTTCTCTGCTGTGTCAACCCAAAATGCAGCCAATTAAACAAAGATGAAGTTAACAATATCAGTCACATACTGTGTCTAGTGAGTAAACAAGAGATTCAAAAGAACGATACCCAGCAAGTGCACTTGAGAAGGAAGAAGAAGGGAGGCTTGGTTTCAATTGTAAGAAATAACATACAAACCAAATGGGATGCTTTTAAAAACATGGCACAATGAAATGGCATTTGGATACACAATGTTCACTCTGTTAAAGGGGGCACTATTCATGTGCGGGTTTTCATGAGTTCGGTACATCTTGTTCCTTCACTACTACCTGAATAAATCACAAATTGTAAATGAAATGGAAGTAATGTTTAACTGATCTGAAGCATTGTTGTGGCACATGGCTATGATACTAATGGGATAGGATAGTACATTAGCAAAGGAAGAGCTTGGAAAAATATCACCCCTCCCCCCTGCACCACCACACACATACACAACATTTCTAAATTCTGAGTTCAAATCAGTCACAGGAAAAGAGCTGGCTGAAATAACACACGGACCCTATGGTGAAACTTTTTCATGGACCCATCACTTGTCCCAGATGTGTTGAACCTTCAGACTACATTGTTGTTGTTGTTTATTCATTTAGTCACTTCTGACTCTTTGTGACCTCATGGACCAGCCCACGCCAGACTTCCTTGTTAGCCGTGACCACTCCCAGTTCCTTCAAAGTAAATCCAGTCACTTCAAGGATACCATCTATCCATCTTGCCTTTGGTCTGCCCCTCTTCCTTTTTCCTTCCATTTTCCCCAGCATCATTGTCTTCTCCAAGCTTTCCTGTCTTCTCATTCTCAGACTACATTCATGTTTCCAAATTGATGCCCTTCTACCTAAGGCCCATCATTGTAGTTTGGTGTGATAAGCACTATAGTCCTATACACCTGGAATACACTAGGTGACTAAATGGAAGTCTACACAATTCCAAACTCTTTGAGAAGGGCAATCTGGATTTCTTTTCTCTTGTCCTTTGCTCTGGACTTGTCCCTGCATATTTTTAGTTTTATATTTATATATCTCTATAATTTTTGTACTCTCTTGAGCAGGGGTCCTCAAACTTTTTAAACAGAGGGCCGGGTCATGGTCCCTCAAACTGTTGGAGGGCCGGATTATAATTTGAAAAATCTATATAAATAAAAATGTAATGTTCGTTTGTGGGATTAACATAACTCAAAAACCACTGGACGAATTGACACCAAATTTGGACAAAATACATCTATCAGGCCAACAAGTGACTATCACTCATAAAAACACTGAAAAACACAGCGGAAGAGACTTAAAAAGCAACATCCCCCCAAAAATACATTACAATACATGCGCAAAACCATATATATATATATACACAAACACACACATCTATGCATATACACACACAAAACGCATACACAGAAAGGGGGAAAGAAGGAAGGAAAGAAAGAAGGAGGGAGAGAAGGAGGCAAAGAAGGAGGGAAGGAGAGAAAGAAGGAAAGAAAGAAGGGTAGAGAAGGAGGGAGAGAAAGAGAAAGAAAGGGAAAGAAGGGGGAAGGAGAGAAAGAAGGGTAGAGAAGAAAGAGAAATAAAGAGGGAAAGAAGAAGGGAAGAAGGAGGGAAGGAAAGAAAGAAGGGTAGAGAGAAGGAAGGAAGGAAGGAGAGAAGGAGGGAGAGAAAGAAAGAGGGAAAGAAGGGAAAGAAGGCGGGAAGGAGAGAAAGAAGGAAAGAAAGAAGTGTAGAGAAGGAAGGAAGGAGAGAAGGAGGGAGAGAAAGAGAAAGAAAGAGGGAAAGAAGAGGGAAGGAGAGAAAGAAGGAGAGAAAGAAGGGTAGAGAAGGAGAGAAATAAAGAGGGAAAGAGGAAAAGAAGAGGGAAGGAGAGAAAGAAGGAAAGAAAGAAGGGTAGAGAAGGAAGGAAGGAGAGAAATAAAGAGGGAAAGAAGAAGGGAAGAAGGAGGGAAGGAAAAAAAGAAGGGTAGAGAATGAAGGAAGGGGAGAAGGAGGGAGAGAAAGAGAGAAAGAGGGAAAGAAAGAAAGGGGAAGGAGAGAAAGAAGGAAAGAAAGAAGGGTAGAGAAGGAAGGAAGGAGAGAAGGAAAGAGGGAAAGAAGAAGGGAAGAAGGAGGGAAGGAAACAAAGAAGGGTAGAGAATGAACAGGGGCGGCTCACCCATTACGCAAAGTAAGCAGTCGCAGTACAGTTCATGTTGCCCAGGGGCGCTCTTGAGGCGCTGTTGGGGGAAAATAGACCTTGACATATGTGAGTTGTAGTTACTGGGAGGTATAGTTCACCTACCATCAAAGAGCATTCTGAACTCCACCAATGATGGAATTGAACCAAATATGGCACACAGAACTCCCACGACGAACAGAAAATATATATCAGTGATTGGTTGGGGGGGAGCACCAAAATACTGTTTGCTTACCGTTGAAAATTACCTAGGGCCACCTCTGGTTGTAAGCCCACACATTTTCATATTTTCTAATAAAAATGCTGATGCTAATGTAGTCATGAGACTATATGAGAACAAGAAGAAAGAAAGAAAGAAAGAAAGAAAAAGAAAAAGGAAGAAAGAGAAAAGAAAAAAAAGAAAGAGAAAGAAAGAAAGGAAGAAAGAAGAAAGAAAGGAAGAAAGGTAGAGAAGGAAGGAGAGAAGGAAAGAGGGAAAGAAGGAGGGAAGGAAAGAAAGAAAGAAGGGTAGAGAATGAAGGAAGGAGAGAAGGAGGGAGAGAAAGAGAGAAAAAAAGGGAAAGAAGAAGGGGAAAAAGGAGGGAAGGAGAGAAAGAAGGAAGGAAAGAAAGAAAGGAGGGAGAGAAAGAGGGAAAGAAGGAGGGAAGGAGAAAAGGAAAGAAAGAAAGGTAGAGAAGGAAGGAGAGAAGGAACGAAAAAGAGAAAGAGGGTGGGAAGGAAGGAAAGAGACAAGGAAGGATGGAACCAAAGAGAGAACATCAGGAGAGAATGCTTCTGGAACACAGCCATACAGCCCAAAATCAAAGATGATGTCTGTGTGTGTGTGTGTGTGTGTGTGAAGGGAGGGGGTTCTTGCCCAGCAGAGGAGGAGGAGGAGGAGGGTCTTGGCGGGTGCTTCCCTGGTGGAAGGAGACCCCTCCCTCCCTCGCTCGCTCCCTCCGCACTGACCCCCTCCCTCTGCTCCTTGCCTTGCAGGGAAGCCCATGGAGTCCCCGCCCTGACAGGCAGAGGCTCGGGAGGCGCACCATGCCCGGACGAGGCTGCTGCTCTGCCTGGCTTTGCTCTGCGGATGCACGCAGCTTGTGGCCCCTTCCCAAAGGCAGAAAAGCTGGCTTGGGCCAGGGAGGAGGAGGACGAAGTGGCCCCGAAGCTGCTTCACCCACAGCCTCCTCCCCTTCTCCTGCCGCCAGCAGGAGAAGAGCCAGCTGGGCCCAGGGAGGCGGAGGACGAAGCGGCTCCGAAGCTGCTTCGCCCGCCGCCTCCCCCACCTTCTCCACACCCTGCGGGCCGGATAAATGCCCTCGGGGGGCCGGATTCGGCCCCCGGGCCTTAGTTTGGGGACCCGTGCTCTTGAGGTTTGTGCAAGCTGGCCACAAAGTGGAGCATCTGCTCTTCAGAATGAGTCTTTTGGGTAGCCTCATTAGTTGTAGCAGACATATTTCCAAGAAGGTTCTCAAGTCTTACTTTTGTGATAGTAATCTAAATTAACATAAAATGCAAAATAATCTCATCATTGATGGACTTCTCAGAGGGGGCTCTAAACATAACTGCCTTGGCTCAGGCTATGTTTCTTTTCTCTTTGCTTTATGTGAGGATTGCATCTATTATTCCCATCAGTGATGGATCATCGTTGCAAAACTTTATAAACCAGTTGGCACCAATCCCAAAAATATTGTATGAATTGATGGCATGTGCAACAGTATCCAGAAGACAGAATGGTAGACATTAAAAAATGAACACTTTTATGGCTCTCCTACTGTTTCACACTTGTTCGTCAAGGTTAACTATATATTCAAGTCATTTTGTGCTGTCATTAAATATGTTCCACTGCCTCAGTGCCTACTGCATGACAAAGATAGCTTCAATAGATCTACTTGTCTTTTATACTGAACAAACTCTAATTTTATGATGCCATAAATGTAATCACAAATGCTTCCATTTTGTGTTAATAGATTTTTCTATGCATTATTGAGCTCTTGAAATTTTAGATGAAACAGATTCTGTGAAATATGGGGGTTTTTTTTCCAGAGCTATGTTGAATATCTATAGAACTGCCCAACATGGATTTTCAAAAAAACAAATCATGCTAGAACAGGTACCTTGAAATGGCAGGTTAATAGACATAGTATACTGAGCTTCAGCAATGCTTTTGAACACTTTAAATAACAAAATAGCAGTAAGTGAAGGATTAACATCCAATCAGGGGAAGCTCTGCAGTGAGGCTCTATATTCACTGCGATTCAGAATTGTCATTGTTTTTGACATTTGCTATAAGGTTAGCGTTGACTTATGATAACCCTATGACTTGCTCATCAATAGTCTGCTGTGGTCTTGCAAACTCAGGGCTCTAGTTTGAGACTATCCATCTGTAATGTGGTCTTCCTGTTTTCTTGCTGCCTTCCTCTTCATTATGAATTATAGCTTTTTCCAATAGGTCACGTTATTTCTGGATATATTCAAAGTCTTGTCAGGAGTGACTTAAGAAACTGCAAGTCGCTTCTGGTGTGAGAGAATTGGCCGTCTGCAAGGACGTTGCCCAGGGGACGCCCGGATGATTTGATGTTTTTATCATCTTTGTGGGAGGCTTCTCTCATGTCCCCGCATGAAGAGCTGGAGTTGATAGAGGGAGCACATCCGCCTCTCCCCGGATTCGAATCTGCGACCTGTCGGTCTTCAGTCCTGCCGGCACAGGGGTTTAACCCACTGTGCTACCGGGGGCTCCCGGTAAAAATGCGAAGTGCAAAATGAATATAAGCATCCAGAGGGCTGCATCCAGCCTGCGGGCCTTAGTTTGCCCATGCCTGAGATAGACTAAACTAGGAATGACAGTTTGTTGCAAAATGTCTGGCACAAAAGAATGGCACCACTTTAAGTCAAGTTTAAACAGGTTTTACCTGAAATATTTCCTCTGAGAAGCATATCCCAAGCAATATGTTTGATCCTCCCAAAGCATAACTCGCTTGCATTGAAATGAAAAACTCTCCCCCTTGGACCAGAAATTCACCACAATCGTTGAGTTTGGTCTGCCATCTTTCTAAATTAGCAAACTCTTTGATAGTGAGGCTTTTTTGAAAAGGCCCATTCATACAAATATAGTATAGGTGGTATAGAGTTTGGGTTTGAAAAAGGTTTGAAGTTCAAACCTGCATTACTTGTGGATTGCATTCAACATTGTCACGAAAGGCATTCTACCATGAAGCATTTTTATTGGCTTCTCTTGACGGTTCCCAGACTAGGGCTAGTCTGGCTTGGGGATCCATTCTCTGGTAACTTCCAAGATACATTACGGCAATGCATTACATGATTCTAACACTTCAATGAGTATAGATTTCTACTGATAGAATTCTGAGTAATTGGTTTAGGTGGAACTGTAATGTACCACTCCAGAAGGAATGATAATATCTGTTTATTACCAAACTTTATAATATCTTCTAGAGGAGGGCATGACTACCGGCCACATTGTATTGCTTTTGGCACCATCTGTCCAGGAAATAAAACAGATTCCCTCCTTTAAGGGG